AAACATTTGCCAGCACATTTTTGACKTTTTGCCCAAATTTTCTGGCCAAAACTGGGGAGAAAAACTCAGGATTGTCTATGGAAAGCAGATACTTCTCATGAAAATATTCATTTAGTCAAATCCCCAGGTTTCTGCTGAAAGTGAGCTTCAGTGGAAAATGCTGACGAGCTCTATTATTGGCACAGCTTTAATTTTCCTTTGTCTGGAACAGACACGGAGAAGACAGCATCTGTCAAACGTAGTCTTTAGACTTACGTTATTATTTAGCCTGGAGTATTGTTCAAGGACTTCAGGAAAGGTTTGAGCCATCACAGAGCTGGGTGCTGTGCACATCCTTGAAAGATGGCCCCTTCCCTGGAGGGATTTTAATTTGAGCACAAACCACGGAGAGGATAAACAGCTGGGGAGAGCACAAGGTAATTTTGGAGGGGTCCTGGGCAGTGTGATGAGCAAAGGGACGCTGTGCTTCCCCTTGCACCTGCTCTTCCCCCCAAGGCTTTGTGCTCAGCCACACGGCAGCTGTGCAGGCTCACAGCTCCCCCAGGGCAGCCCGGCTCTGTCCTGGCTCCAGAGGCAGCTGCAGAGGAGGGGAGAGACAAGTCCTGCTCTGCTCTCTCCCAGCCTCCAGCCCAAAACATCCCTGGGGTGGAGAGGAGAAAGCCAAGCAAGTGATTTCCAGAGCCTCAGACCCTGCAATCCTGTCTCCTCCTTCCCTTGGACTGGGACACACTCTGCCTCTCACAGCCCCTGCGTGCTGATCCGCAGAGACAGAGAATTGTTGGATCACAGAAWGGTTTGGGCTGGAAGGGACCTTAAAGCTCATCTCATTCCACCCCCTGCCATGGGCAGGGACACCTTCCAATATCCCAGGGTGCTCTAAACCCCATCCAACCTGGCCTTGGACACTTCCAGGGATGGGGAAGCCACAGCGTCACCTCCCTCACAGGGAAAAATTTCTTCCCAATATGCAATCTAAACCCACTGTCTTTCAATTTAAAGCCATTTCCYCWTGTCCATCACTASATGCCCTTGTAAAAAATCCCTCTATTTCCCCTATTTAAACTCACATTTTATTTTCACCCAGATCCTGCCTTTCCATGGCATCTCACTGGCTGTCTGCCACGCTTCCCTTCTGCCCCCGTTCCCACGTGCTCTGCATCACTTTATGCCTCGATCAGACCAACACAACCACTTCAAGAGACCAGTCAGAGAAGGATCTGTGCTGGTTTCAAACAGCTTCCAAAACTGGTCACCCCCTTTCTGTAAGAGATTAAAAAGGAATCACTGAGAAAGGAGGGAGGCAGAAAGAAAGCATGAGAAAATAAATAAATAAAGGTATATAGTTACTTTTGGTTAGACTCAATGTGCAGTCCCGTCCCAGGGCGCCTTGTTCTGTGCTCATTTGAAGTATTAGTCACTTTTTCCATTAGAAGCTGTTATTCTAGGGGGATTTATAATGTATCTGTAAAATTGTCTCCAGGCTTTGCTTGGCATCTGAGCTCTCAATCCATGGACAGAATGTAAAAAAACTACAGTTGTTTGATTTATTGGGACAGGGCATGGGGAGCGAGGGAATTTTTCCATGCTCRGTGGAAATAAATTCACATAGTGCCTCCGGTGCACAGGCACTTACTGCTCCAGAAAATTCACCAGTTAGGTGCAATTTCACACTGGCCGAGAGGAAAGAAGCAAATCAATGATTATTTAATACCACCCTGCCTGAGACCCAGCCCTGGTCTGTGGCTCCTCACCAYGACCCACCCAGCCCACTGGTGAGTGTGACAGCCTCATTCCACTCAGGTTCAGAAATCCTGCCTCTGGCACACCTTTTTCAATACTAATTCCTACAAGGGACATTCCTTAACCCACAGAGGCTCCCTGACAGATTTTTTTTCCTGAGGAGGGCTATGGCTAATTYAAACTTTACTCTTGTTTCTTGATACACATCTGCCCTAAGGTTGGGAGGGATGAGGAAGGGCTGCTGGTCTGCTGTAGGTGACATCAGCTCCTGGGTGGTAAAAGTGTTTGGGCAAAGTGAGAATGGGGACGTGACAACCCCTTTGAGATTCACAAACTCTGGAAAAACACCCCATCACCTTGCTGACTGTCCTCCTTCCTGCCATCCATAGCTGAGGATAAGCCCATTTGCAGAGCAGCCCTGACCTGGACCAACTTTCACCCAAACTTCTGCTGGAAGCAAGGCTGGACTGGGAAAAAGGGAAGGATTAGGGACAGCGATGMACACCACGACCAGAGGGAGGAAGAGCCAGGACCTTTTTGCAGCTTCCCTGCAGCCCCGCTCAGCAAAGCACCGAGCCTAACGTGGACGCTTCAAGGAAACAATAACCTAAAATTGGAACACGGCAAATTATTTATTCCAACTACAGCCTTCCCTCCCCCCTTGATTAGCAAACCGCTGGGGAGYCAGCCCTGATTTTCTTCAGACAGATGCAAACGCTCTCCTCCTCTCGCTGTGCCACGAGGCTCAGCCCGTGGGGGCTGAGGAGCTCGTTGGTATTCGCATTGTGTAGCAGCTCCTTCAATTCACACGTTGTTCCGCTCTCCGGCTGGAGCACAAACTTTTTCTTTGGGAGCACACACTGCAAATGATGAATTTGTTTGTTTTCCGCCTTTTTTTTTTTCCCTTTTCCCAGAGAAACATTTAGACTGCAGTGTGCAAACACTTCCCCGCACGCTCACTCAACTACTTGTACCAAATAATAAAACAATCCGTATGAAGCATTGCAACTCGAATCCCTGATCTGAGTTTTTTGGGGGGTTCTTTCATGTTTCCATTCATCATTTATATAAAAAGCCCGGGTGACACGTTGAGGAACAGACATGAGAATGTGTAACAGAACTCAGGGGTGTGCTGCAGGAATGAGGTGGGAGATCCCAGCAGCAAAATCCTCTCCCCACTTAAGACAGAGGAAAAACATCCACACAGGAGCCAGAATTTCACCCCTGGGACTTTGGCAGTGGGGGACACGGAGCTTGGCAACAAACAGGGAAGGCTGTGAAGGGTTCAAAGTATCAAATGAAGCTGAGCAGAGACAWGAGAGGAACAAAGGAAGTTCACGTCGTTATAATTTATTGATGATCTTGGCCTGATTGCTTCAGTGTTTTGTCTTCTTAGCAGAGCCCACCCTGGGCAGCAGCGAGTCCTGCACGTCACTCGGCCGTGCGGATGTGGAAGTGATGTGATGATTTACAGACAGAGTTTGCTTAATTAAATAATAAAGTAAATAAAAAAGCACCACACTGGATCTCGCCCTCACCCAAACGCTTGCTGGGAAGTGGCCAGGATCTCCTGACCTCACCCCCACCGGAGTGCAGCTCCAGAAATTCCCTCACCATAGTTCACATTTTTCCAGCTCTACCAATTCACCCAGCAAGTGCCATGGGAAATCACTATGGCTGAGGCATCCAAACTTGCTTAAGAATGAGCCAAACTGATTCTTTTCTTCAAGGAGGAGGGTCTTAAGGAAAATAAAATGCTGGGGGTTCTTTGTCCCTGTATCTTGGATACAAGAAAACTCCCACGCTTGTCAGAAATCAGAACAGCACCAGCAGCTCATGGCTTTTTCTTTTTCTCATTCCTCTTTTTATTTTTTTTTTTTACCCCAGTGTGTGAGTGTGCTTTAGAGCAGGATGACATAGTGTAGTGATGGGTTTAAGAGACAGTGAGTGTTGAGACGCCAATTTCTAATGTATTACAGGGTGCAGCTTCTTTCTTGTGTGATCACGGGTGAAAAATCAAAAGAAATAATCCAGGAGACTAAATACACTCCCCAGCCATTCAACTCACTCATAAATATGCTGAGCAAGACGCTTTGTGCAAGAAAACCCCATCACTTCTATTCTGTATTTTGTATAATGATGAGTCAAATCCTCCACACTCATCTTCAGACTGATGCTAGTCTGAGTTCACAGGGATGCATTCCCACCCTCTTTCCTTTCAATTTTAAGCTGCTGGGTATGGTTTTAAAACTAGCAGGTTCCCAGTTTTCCCCTCCCACCTTCAGCCCTCTCGCTGTCTCTTTACAGAAAACACTGCGCTGTCACAGCACCCAACTCCAAAACAAAGAGTTTTAACTAAACTCACCCCTTGGCATCAACAAACTATTCAAAAGAACTTTGCAGGAAGCCTGCCCTTTCCTGCGCGCTGCTAATGCTCCAAAATAAAGCAAATTTGGGAGAAGTCAAAGAAATGAAAAGCCTAGATGCTGTCATTTCCTTTTTAAGGCTGGAGGAGCCCTGGAGCCCATTAGCTATTGACAAGAAGGGGACCCTCCAGATCCAGGCTGGATGCGCAGACACTCAGGGAACAACCAGACCTTTGTTTATCATCTATGCAGATGTCATAAGGACCAGGAGCCCGCGCCCACCAGGGACCGACCCGTGCCCAGCAGGGACCGCACTCTCTGCACATTGAGAAGTTTATTCCTACATAAATATATGCATATGAATAGGCACATTCTATCTAAGCACTTCATCCCGAGGAGGTTTGAAATAACTCCTTCCAAGCCAGCACAAACCCCAGCAGGGTGGGATGCGGGTGGATCTTTCCTTGTAGCTGGACATGAAAGAGGCTGAAGGTATCGGTGGTACCGTTTTAGCACGTATGAAGTTTGGTTTGGTTTGCAACACCGCCACCGAGCCGCGGGACTCCTCTCACAGAGTGATTTCCTTCTTTTTCAGTTGTATTTTATAAGCGCAAACTTATTAACTGAAAATTTTTTTTTTCCTCTTTTTCTTTTTTCTTTTTTTTTTTTTTCCCTTGAGTTTTAAGCATCGGGAAATCTCCCCGGTGCAGCAAGGCGACCCCGGAGCGCAGCCCGACATCCCTCCAGCTTCCTGCTCCAAGCCGAAGTTGCGGAGGGAGCGCAGCCCTGGCCGGGGCAGCGGGCACCGAGGCGCTTTTGTTCCCGGCCCCGTCCCGGGGAGCCCAACCCGCGGGTCCCCRCCGCGTCCCCCCGATCCCGAGCGCCTCCACTCACCAGCTGCAAAGTGCAGAGGAAGATGAGGGTGCAGCGGCCGGTGCAGCATCCCATGGTCCCCGAGCAGCGGGGGCAGAGCAGGGGCAGCCCGGTGGCCGCGGCCCCGCCGCCGCCCTGGGGCTCCGCGCTCCCGGTCCGCGGCCGCGGGGAGCGAGGCGGGGACGGAGGTCGCTCGGTGTCGCTCGGTCGGTGCCGGCTGCCGGAGCCCCTCCGGGAGCCGGGGAGGAGGMGAGTGGGGCCACAGCTTAAAAGGGCAACGCTCCGGCGGCGCTGCCGTCCCGCAGGCTGGGCGGGCAGGCGGGGCGGGGGCTGCCGCCAACGCYGGGATGCGCCCCCCGGGCCCCCGCAGGCGCGCTGGGATGCTCCGGCCCCGGCCCCGGCCCTCCCCCGGGAGGCGGGAGCAGCTCCGAGCCCCCGGACAGGGCAGCCCCTTGTTTTTCCCTTTCCCGGACGCGGGAGTGCCCGATTCGTGCTGGGGCCAGGCAAGGTGCGTGTGCAGGACACACGTTCTGTAGAGCTCCTCTCCTCTTTTAACGTACGCCTCCCCGTGCAGGTGCTGGGATGTTCACCCTGAATTATGAAACCCAAACTAATCTAAAATGCAATAGTTTTCCCCATAAAAACTCCTAAAGGAGGATAAGACAAGGAATTCTTTAAAAAGCACGTCTATGGGTACATTAAAGTATGCCCAAGCTTAAGAATGAATCCCAGCTGACTGRGAGCAGAGGGATGTAGGAGAGCATCTCTCCACTTCCAAAAAGTGCTTCTATTTGGGCACCTGTACGCACCACTCGCTGTACCCTGCAGCTGTAGAAAAGCAAGTCGGTCAACTTTAATYGTGAGCAGCAGAGCAAATCCACGAGCACACAACCACCTCCTTTACGTGCCYGAGTCCTTCCCATTGCCTCCCCTCCCGAAGGAGAAGCAGGATTCAGAAGACTCAGGTCGTGCCAGCCTCCCCTGCTGCACACATTTGTGGCTGGCCTGAGGAGCAGGTCACACACCGCCCATTGTGATCGGGACAGACTCGCAGCTAAGCCCARCACAACAGGATAAGAAGCTTTGGGAGAGCCTCATCTGGCGACAAGGTCRTCTCTTTGCAATCTATGGTGGCTCCGGTGTCTGCACAACAGTTTGTTCTGTTACCTCTGKCCGCTCTTTCTTCCTCTGAAGCAAGTCAAGGTTTCATTGCTGCCTCCAAAGCAGAGCGTGACTCCCCAGCAGCAGTGATTAGCTCTACTTTCATTTTTAAAAAAACACAGCTTATTGCAGTGGGGTGAGAAGGAGGTGGCAGCTGAAATCATAGAAGTTCTATCGTTTCACTCAAGGAAAACASTGCCTGACTACATCCTAAGGAAGCAGAATTGGCCCTCAAGTGCTAGGAATGTTWAAAACCTTATATTAACAACATTATTGTTATTCACATCAGCCACAGGGAGAAACAGAACAAACAAACAACAAACAAACTCTGAATACCTGAGATTAGAAGGCAGACTCTGAATTGATCGCAAATCCTTCTGGTTTTAAATGGTAAAATATATTGATTATCTGACCTGTGCATAACCAAGGCATCAATTAATGCAGTCAGGTACAATAAAACACATTTTATTATAGGTGAAAACACCCAGAGAAGAAACATCCACAGAATAAACCAATTTATTTCACCTAGAAAACTGTGGAGTGAATAAGCTTTTGCAGTATTTGTAATCCCCAGAAGGTGGATTTTGGATGGAAAAGGCGATGGAACAAAGATCAGTTTATTTTTTCATGAATGCAGATGAAGTATTCCTCAWAAATTGCACAGGGATGTTTCACTCTGCCCTGTGGGGTCAGACAGACTGAGATCGGAATTAGAACAGGAGCTCAAGTCGGCCAAAAGCAGKCTGGGGTTAGGCTGGTTTTGTTACACACTCTGGAAACTGCTGGGAACAGCAGGGAAAGCAGGGTTACAGCCATGCAGGTTAGAACCTGGCTTTTGTGCCAGTTCTTAAGGTTTTCTGCATCTCTTGTTCTGCCTCCTGCTTCTAAAAACCTCCTGTAGGCACTGCTATTTCCCAGCCCAGTTGTACTGCAAAGGAGACACAGTGTGAAATAGCAAAAGGTATTGCTGCTGAAAGGCTGTTGGACACAAATAGGATTTTTTCCACCTGCATTTTTATCTTGATAAGCTCTGCAGAATGCAAGCATGGCTTGGCTGGGACTCCCCATGCATGTGAAGGAAAACAGAGACTTTCCTGAGCTTTTTAATAAGGGTGAAGCCATAGGAATAATGCAACTTGTATTTCAAAGAGAGACTTAAATCTCCCAAGATTGATATTATAATCTTCATTCATATGATTGCTTATCTGTGTGTCTGACCATCTGAATTCCTGCATGATTGTTGCAGGACCACATATCTACTGAAAGTTAATTCATAAAACCAACTACGACTTTAATTTAGGAAAAAAAAAGAAAGAAAGAAAACCAAAATTACTCAGTATCCTGAATTTTTTATTTCCTGAAGTATAACCTTGCCCTCAGTTTTTGATGGATGAAATGCTGCTTCAAGAGTCCAGTCTGAATGTTAAGAAGGATTTCTCCTGATTAAGGGGTTCTGGATGGGGTCTGAGGGATKCTTAGCAGGGATATTGCTGTACAGGGATATGTGTACACAGAGGAAGGCAATCAGGCAGCTCCATCCCTCACCATCAGGAGAGGACCAAGGAAAGGGAATTGGTCAAGCAGTCATTACTGCAGCCCTCTCTAAATGCTGGGCCACAGGGATGTTTAAGAGATCCCAGTTGTTTCTTTTATCATCCTTTAATTCCTGAGGCTTTGCCTTTATTTTAAGATTCTGATGCATATCTTGACTTCATGGAGGGAATGGAATCCATGTAGGGAACAACCTCAGATTCAAATGATGCTCAAGAGACTGAAGGTCCTGTTCTTAGACAGTGTTTGAACCAGGAACCTCTTTCCATCCAAACTGATTGTTGCAGAGATCCAGCTGCATTGCTAGGAGAGATTAACCTTAGACAACAGGACCTTGTTATCACTTGTTCCTGGCTGATCACATCCAAATTTCTTGGAGAAGTCCCAGGTTTACTTTAGAAGAAATGAGGAAACAAAGTTAGCAAGCTTGAAACAGAACACCAGTACCTTACCACAGCTTGTTATCTCCAATACCTGCAGCCTCTTTGCCCTGACAGATCAAGAGGAGCAGTAATAGGTAAAAGTACTAGCTGGGGACGTGTCTCTTCACAGCCCAAACCCTGTCATTGTCACAGCTGCTGAAAGCTGGAGGTGGCCTAACATCCCACAGTACCATGGGCTGCATATTTCCATTATTCCACTCCGTTCATTTACATCCACCTCCTCTCAACATTAATAACATYAGCTGGGTCACGCTGCCTTTACAGATGTCTGATCAAACACAGCCATGTCAGAGTGTTCCTGCCTTTCCATCCACATCCCAAAGGCAAAGTGTGCCTGTCCCAGTGCTCCCGGAGCTAATCAGCCAGCCCACCCCCTGCTCCAGGGCACACAGCAGCCTGCCCAAGGTGGCATGTCACCTATTTYTCTGCCACAATTAGAAGGAAAACCCATTGCCAGTGGCCTGAGTGATGGCAGCTTAGCACTGCACACAGCAGGATTTCCTGGAGACACATCCAAAATGATAACCGGCAAGTCTCCTCATATGAGGAGGGTGAGCTGTGAAGCTTCCTGCCATAGGACATTGTGGATGTTTAAAATGTGTGTGGGTACAAGTGGATTAGGATAAATCATCTTCCTGCATGGGAGGAGGAAAGGGCTCTCTCCTGTCCCCTCAAGAGTAATGTTGGATACTGGGAGAAGATCTAACTGCTGGTGACCCGAGGTTGCCTCCACTCACCTTGAGCAGCCAGTTTTGGATGTAGGAACTGGACTCTGTGATGTGTCCCATGTGTCTTATTGAAAATTTTCTACATAGAGAAAGATTATTGAACCAGCTAGAGGGAGAGTATGACAAAAAGGACAAGAACTTTTGACCTTCTAATTTTAAACTTGTAATTTTTTAAACCTGGCATTACCCTGGGCTATTAACTAGAGCACTGTTAGAGAGCTCAGCTGTTCTGGGAGTGAAGCCAGATGAAGCCAAGACTATCATAACAGAAGACCTAAGAGAGGTGGCAATAACCCAGACATGTCCTTCGTCTCTCCAGAGGGTCCAGAGAGGCAGAGAAGCCCAAACTGATGAACACCACAGTGGCACACCCTCAGTAGGCCATGGCCAAAGAAACCACACACTGATCTTCCCTTTGTTTTGCAGCCTGGTGGATTAATCACTGAGAAAAACAGCCTTGTGACAGCAAAGCACAATGCTTCAAAAATTTTTCTCATCACTACACAAGAAAGGCAAAATTCTCAATGACTTTTATGTTTGAAATGGTTTCCCAGCAGCCCAGGGCAATCTGTAAAATTCATCAGAACTGGTGTGTGAAATCTGTCATTTTCTCTCAGATCCCTGTGAAGTCTCCAATGTTGGGGGGAGGCAGCTCCAAATCAGTGCTTTTTGGAATTTTTACACCACCATCATCTGCATTTCACATTTGTAATTCTCTAATATTAACTCGCTGAGCTGCACAGCAAATTKTCATCACTCTTAGATGAGCAGATGGAGGATGGCAGAGGTAGAAGGCAGATTCACCAATCTCTCTGGTAATTCACATAGCAAGGTGAACAATTTGTCCATATCTGGCTGATGCAGCTGCCTTGTTTGTGTGATCAAGGGCCTGGATGAAGGAAACCTGACTGGTATAATTCCCCCCCCTGGATCAAACACATCAGCACCCTTTTACCTCTGCAYTGGAGTCAAAGTTCAAATTCACACCTTTTACAGCTTTCCTAAGATGCTGTGGCAATTCTGTCATAACATCCCATAAAAYGCCTTCCAAAATCCTCTTTTTCTATTTCTCCATGGCTATTAAGGAAAAACACTGAACCAGAAAAATCCTGGAAGCTGCCAGCATTTCTGTTAGTCTGAGGGGGGTGCTTTGTGCCACTGACCATCTCACCTGAGCAGCAGCACTAAAAATCCTCCCTCATCCACTGAAATTCCCTATCTGTCTTACTTCCAACCTGGAGACTGATAACATGTAACAGCTACTGAACTACTTCAAGAAAGTCTGCTCAAACTACAGTTATAGTGACTCTGGGGATGGCATGTGCAGGGATAGGACCCAGGGAAYAGAATGAAGTTGTGTCAGGAGAGGTTTAGGCTGGATATTTGGAACAGGCTCTTCATCCAGAGGGTGGCTGGGCATTGGAACAGGCTCCCCAGGG